CATAGGAAAGTATTGGTTTGGAAATAGGGTAGTTGATGAGTGGAACAGTCTACCTAGTTGGGTTATTGAGGCTAGGACTTTGGGTAGTTTCAAATCTAGGTTGGATAAGTACATGAGTGGGATGGGTTGGATTTGAGTGGGACTTTCACATCAGAGCTTATTTCTTGGGTGGCATTGAAAATTGGGTTGGTCAAATGTTTGTTAGTGGGATGAATTGTAAAGGACCTGCCTAGTATGGGCCAACAGGCCTGCTGCAGTGTTCCTCCTTTCTTATGTTCTTATGTTCTTATGAAGAAGTGGCTTTATCAACATATGTGTGCGTGTCTAATTTTCATCTTGTGTGAATTGTATATTATTCATGTACAAATTGTCAGACAGTGTAACATCATGGAATCTTGGTTCAGAGGACATCTCCACAACCTTCTTCACTTCTACTAACCCGTCTCTTGGGTAGGACCTACCTCCACTGGTGAATCTCGCCTACCAGTCACAATGCCTTCGTCTGCTACCCGTCCCCCTTTTCACCTGACGCCAGTATATGAGCGCCAGCCTTCTTGCCTGTGCTTCAGGTTTTTCACGACTACGGTGCTCTTAACACCAACTCCAAGGCTGAGGGACTGATTACCTCATCTTTTGTATATAGTTCTACTGTCTTCAAATTATGTTCTAGAATTTGTATTGATAAAGCCACTGGATGGCGAAACGTCTACATTGAAGATACGCAGATGTTGCACATATGTCTAATTTTCACCAGTACAGAACAGGTACGACCTCTCATTATCACTGATCTCAGTGAAGTAGCAATACCTTAGTAAAGACAGACTTGTTACTATTAATGGCCAAGGGTTTGAACACTGCACGCACGCACGTACACATACATACACACACACAGGAGCTGTGGATCAACCCCTGCAACCACAACTGGGTGAGTACAAAACATACACACACACACACACACACACACACACACACACAACACACACACACACACACACACACACACACACACACACACACACACACACACACAGCACCAGTTTGGAACCCACACCTGGCCAAACACGTAAGGAAATTAGAACAGTGCAAAGGTTTGCAACGAGGCTAGTCCCGGAGCTAAGGGGCATGTCCTGCGAGGAGAGGTTAAAGGAAATCGACCTGACGACACTGCAGGACAGGAGAGATAAGGGGGGATGTGATAACGACATAAAATATTGAGAGGAATTGACAAGATAGATAGGGACAGGATGTTTCAGAGATGGGACACAGCAACAAGGGGTCACAACCGGGAGTTGAAGACTCAGATGAGTCACAGGGATATTAGAAAGTATTTCTTCAGTCACAGGAAGTGGAATAGTTTGGAAAGTGATGTAGTGGAGGCAGGATCCATACACAGCTTTAAGAAGAGATACAATAAAGCTCACTGAGCAGAGAGAGAGAGTGGACCTAGCAGCGACCAACGAAGAGGCGGGGCCAGGCATTGCTGTAAATCGACCCCTGCAACCACGGATAGGTAAGTACACACCTCCCACGCTACACACATCCACACTTACCCCTACAACCATATATTATTCTCATTGTCCACACCCCTCCCCTACATACAACCCTCATAGTTCACACTTACCCCTCCCCCACACACTACCCTCATAGTTTACACTACCCTTCCCCTCATACACGCATACAGGTTGCTCACCTTTACCCCGGTTTTTTTAACTATTAAAAAAGGCTACTTTGGCCATTTTGGCCATTCTGGAGTTTTGAGACTATGACCGCGGGTTCAATCCCGGCCGGGGGTATGGTTTTTTTTGGTCTCAACTCTTTATTCTTTCCCCGGAATTTCCAGATTTTCTCCCAAAGGACAATTCTTTCCAGGTGGTAACCCCTGACCTACGAGATATATCTGTACTTAAGAATAAACAACTTGTGTTTACAGGAATCTGTAAGGGCCAGTTTGCACTGAACAGATCTACGCCATAACAGATCATCTCCTTAATGTTCCTAGACGACTCGTGAAGAGAACACATGAAGAGAAACAGCTGAGGTTGGTGGTGGGAGGTCCTAAGATGGCCCAGGTTGTGACCGAGTTCCTCAGTGTGTTAGAGAAGCAGTCCTCAGATAAACAAAGCATCTTAAAGATACACCAGAATCACAAACTACTGACCGTCGACAGGTCAAGGCCTCAGTACTGTGCCCGACATAAGAAGATCTTTCATATAAACTACAAATGATCTGCTTGTTCTCCACACGTGAAGGTTTCTAATTGTACTGTTGTAGAATTTATTCAGAAGCCTAAGCAGCTGGGACAGAAAAATGTGATAACCTCTACCAGGGCCGCCGCCCTGACCGCCAAAATTCCTTGACTTAGAGTGTGTTGAAGATTTAATACCACATTATAACAGTTAAGCCACAGTTTAACCATACGACCATCCTAGATGGTGCTGTCACCATCAAAATAATTAAGCTTGGCACCTCAGGTACTTTTGATGACTATGTCATGAACGTCATGATACTCGGATCATGATACTCGGATCATGGCACTCAGGTCATGGCCAATCAGTCGCCAATTCATCAGTGATGTTCAGAGGGCAGTTATGATGTTTAATATTTATAAGATTAACACTCGGAAAGCTGACATACGAGAAAAGAAAGCGAAAGAATGCATGAAGACAGAAAACGTCCGAACTTCACGTAAATCATAATTCACAATGAGAATGTTTACTGTTCTCTCTATGCTGGAATATTGCTGCACACTAACGTCCCCTTTCAAGACAGGCGAAATTGGAGACCTGGAGAATGTACAGAGAACTTTCACGGCACTGATAAGTACGATAAAGCACCTAAATTACTGGGAACGGTTTAAGTCCCTTGATTTGTACTCTCTGGAACGCAGGCGAGAATGATACATGATAATATACACTTGGAAAATTCTAGAGGGACTAGTCGCAAATTTACACACGAAAATCACTCCCTGCAAAAACAAAAGACTGGGCAGGAGATGCAACATTTCCCCCATGAAAAGCAGGGGCGCAACGAGTAAACTAAGAGACAACACAATAAGTGTCAAGGGCCCAAGATTGTTCAGCTGCCTCCCAGCATACATAAGGGATGATTACAGACCTCTGGTTGTCTTCAAGAAGGCGCTGGACAGGCACCTCAAGTCAGTACCTGACCAGCTGGGCTGTGGTTCGTACGTCTGTTTGCATGCGGCCAACGGTAAAAGCCTGGTTGATCAGGCTCTGATATACCACGAGGCCTGGTCACAGACCGGGCCGCGGGGACGTTGATCCCCGAAACCCTCCCAGGTATACCCCAGGTATTGCCGGCCACTAATTATCTTGAAAGTCTCATGGTATGACATGAAGCGGATATGAGGATCTTCAGTCATGTTACTGATGGGGTTCAACACAATATAAAAAATTACTCTGCTCTGAGGTATAAACACAGATGTGTGTCATTCAGAGCATCAAACACAAAAGCTTGGATGTGAGCATCTATGGTAGGCTTCTAGTACAGGTACTCAGTTCCGGTACCTTGATCATCTCAGTCATGGCTTGAACTCTAGGAGTAAATAAACACACATTACTTTTGCATTCACTGCCCTGATACGATGTAATATATCATTTTCTTTCACTGTTCTTTGCGTCTTGGCTAAGACTCCCACAGAGGAAGATATATTGAAAGCTCTACCTAACACTGAAAGATTAGTAATAATCTTTGAACGTTGGAGTCCTGAAAGTAGTATGAAGAGAGACAAAAGTAAGTAAGTAAATTTATTCAGGTATACACAATACAGTTACATAGAATTATCATACATAGCAGCATATGTGTAGAGAACCTAGGATAACCCTAGGATAACCATGTTGCCTACGATAGATGAGGTGAACCAGCACTCGTTGATAGTAAGATATCAAGCAGGTTACAAACTGCATCAGACACTGGTCAAATCATCACAGTTGCCGAGTCCAGGTGACTTTAGGTGGTCATGGAACCGGTCCAGTGTTCGCTGGTGAGGCATGTCGTGTAGAAAACAAATACGAGTGCGTCAAGGGCTGCAGGGGAGAGTACAGATACCAACCAAAAAAAAAAAAATCAGACTTGACATGTACATCATGCAAGTGTGGTGGATGTAAGAGAACTTTCAGACTTCATCACTGAGATTAGTTCTGGTTGTCAACAGCCCTAGCCAGTCCACACAAAAAAAGGCGATGAAAGAATTCATGCAGCTAGGAGACTCGCCCAGACTAGTGTTTGGTGGACTATTGAGTATGTTTGTTGATCATACTCTTCACCATGTGGTTTAACATTTTCTGACTTTTTCAACCTATTCGTTTCGCTTAAGCAATCATTGTCCTTCCCACCCACGTCTGCCCACCTACAACCATCAACCTCTGCTACACACACTACCATTGTCGTTCCCACCTACATGCGCCCACCTACAACCATCAACCTGTTGCACACACTAGAACTTCACGTTTATTAATCTACGATATCAGTGTTATATACTGAAAAATATATTTCTAAGACATAGTATACAGTTTTCACCATTTTATTGAGATGTTTCGCCCACCAGGGACTTTATGAATTAATAAAGTTCCTGGTGGGCGAAACTTCTACTCAATAAAATGCCATAAACCGCATACTGTGTTTTTTAACATATTTGGTGTCATATAATTCAACTGATATATATATCCACAGACAAGTTTCATATGACTGGCTTCTCTTTTATTAAAGATTCCATAACAAAGATGGAGACACCGATAGAAGACCCTTGTACACAGGCTTAGATATACTTATTTGATGTGCAGATTAGTGCATAACATTTACTAGATAATTGAGTTACAATATACAGTTACAATATACAGGTATACTATTACTGTTATTATTTAGATGTTGGGCTAAACCTACTGGGGTCATTCAGCGCAAGGAGTGGTGGAGACTTGATCCTCCGTCTGGTAATCACGAGACAACAAGGGCGAACAAGACACAGTCGAGGAAGCACTTACCTATTGACGTCCATATAGTCAGTAACCTCGCGCCAAATGAGGTCCTCGTGGGTGGGGAGCCTGCGAGCGTTGATTGGTCCACCACGAAGAGACAACACAAGTTTGATGGTAGAGCCATCTATCACCCCTTGGTCTAGCAGGCAAGAGTCGTCAGCTAACTCGCGCTCACCCAGGATTAGGTGCTGGTGGCTGGTAGGGATTCCTACAAACACAAGATAATACATGTTTTATTATTATTTTCTAGCTGTGCACTATGTAAACACACACACACAAAGAACACTAAAACGTAATAGTATAAGAAATACTGAAAGGAACTGATAGTAACATGGACAAGCTGTTCGAGAAGCCAAAAGCAGGTAAGCCAGAACACAGGTAAAAGACAAGAGCAACAATGAGTCACAGTGATGTCAGGAAATATATCTTCAGTTTTAGAATAGTCAGGATTCAGGAAGTAAAACAACTTAAATAGTAAAGTGGTAGGTTCACGATCCATACATTGCTTTAAGAATTAGTATGATAGAGATCCCGAAGGTACTAAACCCATTTATTTAGCTGCTTATCACCTGCCGCATGCACGAGTCTTCACCGAAGAACTCATTGCAAGGATGCTTAGTGATGGAGTTATTGAGGAGTCCAATTTTCCTTGGAATGGCCCTCTCATCCTGGTTCCCAAGAAAGCCGGTACTTGGCGTCCTGTTATTGATTACAGGAAACTCAACGCTTGCACGATCCCTGACCGATTTCCATTGCCAGTTCTGAATGACCTGTTGCAGAACACCAGTGATAATAAGGCCTCTTCGACTTTTGATCTTCAAGGGTTTTGGCAGATCCTCCTCGATGACCAGAGCAAAGAGTTGACAGGTTTCTCTATGCCGACCAGTCATCATCAGTTCAGGAGGATGCCCTTCGGCTTGCATGGAAGCCCGATCACTTTCAGTCGTTTGAGAACGACGATTTTCCGTACTCTCCTAGGTGGCACGCTCATGGTCTACCTAGATGATCTCATCGTCATGTCACAAGATGTCTCTACATTACAAAGGAGCCCTTGGAGAAAACTTCTGTTGACCTGTTGACGAACTTCTTGACCTTGGAGAAGGGTAATAAACACCTGCTTGTAATGGTAGATAACTTGATACCCATTCCTGACAAAACTGCCGAGACTGTTGTAAATGCTTTCCATGAGCATGTCGTTCTCCATCTTACCTGCCCACGTGTCCTGTCGGACAATGGGTCAGAGTTCATAAACGCCATAATGCAGGATCTTTGTTCCAGATTTAACATTCACCAAGGCCAGTAGCTCACACCACCCTGCGAGTAATGGCCTTGCTGAAAGTACAAACCGCAAAGTCCTGGAGGTGCTCAGAGTAACTGTTAACCCGAGTTGTACTACATGGGATGAGGCTATTCCAGATGTTCTGTGTATGATAAACTCTTCCCTTAACAGCTAGATTGGTGAGTCACCTCATTTTGCCTTGTATGGCTACGACAAGCATCTACCATATGAAATTCTGTTTGCTCCTCCTCAACCTACCTATGATACCGACAACACCAGTGTAGTTAAGATGCAAACACAGGTTGTTTTTCAATGAGTATGAGAGAACTTTATGAAAGCTACAGATAGGTTCATGTCTGATCACAACGCCCACGCTAAGGTAAGCAAAGTGGAACCAGATTGCAGTTATGTTGCTCAATCTGACGCAGACCCCAAGTATGCATAAACTTGTTCCCAAATTTGTTGGTGCTTAGGGTGTCCTACGACAGCTCCGCAGCAATAAGTTCAAGGTGAGGGACATCGCTACCAGAACTATCAAAGAGGCTCAACTTGACCACATGAAGTACATTGACCATGTGCAAGCCGAAGCAGAGCTGGAGTCGCGAGCATTGCAAAGACACAGACTCGTTCTAGCGACAACGCATCTATTTCTTCACCCACTACTACTGTTACTGATGACAGTCCTGTAAGGCTCCATACTTATTGCCTGAGACCCAGGACAACAGTACATTTCTGTGACACTAACGTACCTACTGACTTGTCTGACTCCTACGCTAATTACGCTAACTGTTTGCTTGCAGAAATGGGTATTAATGCACACACATTGTATAGTTAGTTAATACCCGAGTCAGGGTGGACAATGTCATGTAAATATGAAAATTATTTCAGTAAGATACCCGTAATATAACGAATTTCTTGGAAATAGTGTTATTGTATGTGCACCCAGTGTGTCTTTTAAAGTCTGTATTAAGGTCAGGGCAGAGCTGCCCTTATGTCGAATGTCACACATTAGGAAATGCTACTGTCAGTCATTGTTTGCAGATGTGAGGATGGCACAGCATCCTGGACGAGTAGTCAAGGCTGATGTTTCAGCCCTGCGGACAACCTGTATATAGAAGATTTTTAGTTCCAGTACTGACGTCTCCTGGCTCTGTCCTCAATCAAGCTGTGCGGGCAAACCAATTTTGTCTTTCCCTAGGGAGTTTTTTTTTTTAAGTCTGCCTGATTTATAGCCATTTTGATTTTGGGGTGAGTGAAAGCCAGTCCTAGCTGGGTTAACTAGTGTAAGTAATTCTTTCACAACTTTGTGCCCACCAGTACTGTCGTGTCAAGATGACACGAGGTGCGTGGCCAAGTGAATGTAGACAGCCTGTACTGTGTGCTAAGACAGCCTATGCAGTCTGCTAGATTCATATCCCGCGGCACTACGGTGCTGCCCCCTCTAGGCCTGCCTAGCTTCACTCCACGGCCTACCCTCACGGGTTCAACAACCTCTCCTCCATGTACTGGCTATCGGTCATCCCCTCACTCTGCTCGACTTGTACCTACACGTCGATTAATAAAGTCAAACCTAGTCTACGGCCGTATCCCTGCAACCTACGCTACCCCTTCTAGTAACCTTCATGTAAGCTCGGTACTTAGCTGCTGTTCAACAGAAATAACAGCATTAACAGTGGCTAGCTTGAGAGGCGGGGTCAGGATCCACGACTGTCTTTACAACCACAGATAGGTATAAATCTGTCTTGTAGCAGTTGTATTTGCTACCACAGGCCTATGCGACTTTTCAGGTTTTTGACTAAAGACGATGCCATCCTCCAGGCCAAATCACTTGTACCAATGAAAAACATACTCATCAATCAAAAGTGCTGTCAAATCACAGTGACAGAACTAAATCAAACCATTCACTAGCCTTAAACTGATTCACTATGTGCCACGTGCAGGGAATCCTGGTAAACATCGTGGTATTAAGCAGGCAAGAATGATAAAGTTCTGACTTAAAATGTAAAATAAATCTACGAATATGTGCACAAGTGTGTGGCTTGCCTTCGTTATAAATGCAGATCTTACTGATCTATACACACACACACATACACACATATAAACACACACACACACACACACACACACGCATATATATATATATATACACACACACACACACACACACACATACACACACATACACACACAGACATAATACACACAAACACACATACACACACAGACATACACACAAACACACATACACACACACATACAAACACACACACATACACACACAGACATACAAACACACACACACACACACATATATATATATATATACATATATATATATATATATATAATATAATATATAAATATATATATATATATATATATATATACAAGACAAGGGGGTGGAAATCTTTAGCTCAAGTACTTTCACACTTTTCAGTGCGTCATCAGGAGCTAAGCAATGTTGCAAAGCTGCATAATACTTCATAATACTTGACTTCTCAAAACCCTTTTACCCCATATGGGGGGATGGGGATGGTGGTAGTGCTGGTGTGACACTGACCGTTGGCCCACATTTCTAAGAGAGCCAGCAGCAGGCGATAGACCTGCACTGTGCTATTCCGAGAAAACTTCCCCCCACTCCTTCAGTTGCAGCCTTGCAACATTGCAAAGCTCCTGATGACGCACTGAGAAGTGTGTAAGTACTTGAGCAAAAGATTTCCACCCCCGTAGCTTGTCTTGCATAGTTAAAATTGGCTGTCTGCGATTGTTTACACACACACACACACATTATAAAATATATATATAATATATAATATATATATATATTATATATATATTTTATATATATTATATGCATGGAAGGAGGGGTGTTAATGGTTGCAGTTTTATAACTATAGAGTAAGCGTGCCTCTGCCAAGACAGTGATGGAGTGAATGATGATAAAAGTTTTCCTTTTTGGGCCACCCATATATATATATATGTGTGTGTGTGTGTGGTGTGTGTGTGTGTGTGTGTGTGTGTGTGTGTGTGTGTGTGGTGTGTGTTGTGTGTGCGCGCGTGCGTGCGTGTGTGGTGTGTGTGTGTGTGGTGTGTGTGTGTGTGCGCGCGCGTGTGTGTGTGTGTGTTGTGTGTGTGTGTGTGTGTGTGTGTGTGTGTGTGTGTGTGTGTGTGTGTGTGTGTGTGTGTGTACACTCACCTAACTGTGGTTGCAGGGATCGAGACTCAGCTGCTGGCACGCCTATTCACTGAACACTACTAGGTCCTCTCTCTATCCCTGCTCCATGAGCTTTATCATACCTCGTCTTAAAGCTATGTATGGTTCCTGCCTCCACTACATCACTTGCTAGACTATTCCACTTCTTGACTACTCTATGACTCAAGAAATACTTCCTAACATCCCTTTGACTCATCTGAGTCTTTAACTTCCAAGTGTGACCCCTTGTTTTTGAGCCCCTTCTCTGGAACATCCTGTCTCTGTCCACCTCGTCTATTCCACGGAGTATTTTGTATGTCGTTATCATGTCTCCTCTAACTCTCCTGTCCTCCAGTGTCGTCAGGCCGATTTCCCTTAACCTTTCTTCGTAGGACATTTCCCTTAGCTCTGGAACTAACCTTGTTGCAAACCTTTGCACTTTCTGTAATTTCTTGACGTGCTTGATCAAGTGTGGGTTCCAAACTGGTGCTGCATACTCCAATATGGGCCTCACGTACACGGTGTACAGTGCCTAGAACGATTCCTTACTAAGGTATCAGAACGCTATTCTCAGGTTTGCCAGGCGCCCATATGCTGCAGCAGTTATCTGATTGGTGTGCGCCTCAGGAGATGTGCCCGGTATTATAATCACCCCTAAATCTTTTTCCTCGAGTGAGGTTTGCAGTCTTTGGCCTCCTAGCCTATACTCTGGGTCATCTTTGCCCTTCCCCGATCT